CGAGACAGGGTTTCTCTGCGTAGCTTTGCGCCTTTCCTGGAGCTCACTTGGTAGCCCAGGCTGGCCTCGAACTCACAAAGATCCGCCTGGCTCTGCCTCCCGAGTGCTGGGATTAAAGGCGTGCGCCACCACGCCCGGCTGCCACTTTGGCTTTTACTGCAATTTATTTATTATTTTTATATCCTTAGTACCAGCTAATCAGCACTATGAATTTTTATTGAATGAATAATATCAGTAGTAGTCCAGAATGCCCTGCTGAGTACAGCACATAATACACATAAAATTCTCCATCTTAACCAGAAAGCATCACAATAAACTTGTCTTCACTTTAAGTCAGATCTCAGTCTTCTGGGTTTGTCATGAGCCCCTATTCCAATCATATCTAATATACTTAGTTGATACTGGGTACATGTGACTATTCACAATTTAATTCACTAGAATTTAATAATTTCAAACTTACGTAATTCTGTTTCTGGCCAAAATGAAGTAATGAGTTTTTTGAAGCAAACAAGATAGTAGGCAAAATATACGAAACAGTAGTCTTTTATTTAGGATATAACTCAAGGCTGTGAAGGAAGATAGTTGCTAAAAGATGGGAAACAAATCAGTTAAGCCCAGTTGCTATCCTTTAGTGACCCGGAGGAGAGACACACAGCCTGGTCCTGGCAAACTTGTGTGAACATGATGGAGGTGAGGCGACTCAGTTACCAGAGTGACTAACTCCTGAGAGCTGTAGAAGAAACCCCCTCAAGTAGTTAGCAGAATAGAGACAGCACATGTTTGTGAAGAGACCAGCAGAGGCAGGAGACAGCCACTGGGGAGAACTGCAGTCTGAACGCCTGTAGTTTCCTCAGCTTTAACAGGCATGCCACCTGCTGAGGCCACGTTGCCATGGGCTTGATGACTTGTATCCTAGGAAGGTACTATGCCTTGCTTTGCTGAGAACAGTCCCAGTTTGTTGCTGATACTGACTTCCCTTTTCTGCTTAGAATGATAAGTGAGATGCCATCCTGCCTTGGATGGTGCTTTTCACAGAGCTGTTGGAAAAGGAGATGGGAGAAATAGTTGATGAAAATGTGCCTCTTTACACTTCTCTAGGTTTACCTTACAAATTTGAAGTCCAACAGATGTTAGAAGAACCGCAGTGGGAATTAGTGTTTGAAAAGACAAGATGGATAATTGAAAAATACAGGCTTTCTCATAGGTATGTGCCTTGGTTTGTGATGGCCCCACATTTACAGTCTTTCTCGTTAAATTGAATCAGAGAAAGCAAAGCCTAGATTTAATACAGAATCCTGATATCTGGCATCAGTGACAGTTTACCACACAACCAGTTGTGTGTTTGTCTCATCGGTTCCTTTTCACCTGTCTTCCTACAGCAGTGTCCCCATGGATAGAATCTTCCGCCGTGATTCGGACCTAACTTGTTTGCAGAAAGTAAGCTGCCTTCAGTTTTAATTGGTTTCATTACTCAGATTCCAAAGCTGGTGTTCTTGGTGTGTTTTTCACCGTTCTGTGGATACATTTTCTGTTTCCTTTATTGATTTACTTTGTAAAATTAATATGTTTTATTGGCTGAACTTATACATAGAAATAATACTATTTTAGAATGCATTTGTCATTGTTGACTGATACATTTCTTAGTGGGGCTACTATTGTGTACAATGAAGAACCTTTGATCTTTCTTTGAAATTCATAAGTACCATGTTTCCCTTTTAACCATAACACCTGGCCATTTTTTTAAAATACAGTATAAATCTAATTTAAGTTTAAGTGGTCATTTTGCTCTAACTTTGCCATTGGAAAATAAGGATTTAGATTCCCCACCCATTCTATCCCCCAAGCACCCCACCCCCACGTACACACATACTCCTGGTAAGATGTATAGATTGTCAACACTCTGGTTTTGTTTTAGCCATTTGGGAATATTCTGAAAAAGTAAATATATTATGTTCTTTTTGCTACATTTTCCTATATACTGTTGAAAGATCAATGTGTGCATCTCCAATAAAACTGGTGAAGAACTATATACTTAGTTCTTTTTCATTCCCCTTCTCTGTCTCTTTTCTTTGCTTGGTTTTGGTGCTGGGGCTCAATTCTGAGCTGTGCATGTGGTCACCAGGCACTGTGCTTCATCTCTAGACCCACAGTCTTATGTGCTAACTTGTTCTTGCTGTTTCTGAGTCTTTAGAGATGGCTCTGTAAATGTACTGCTCAAGGGGCAAAAATCCTAGATTTGTCCCATGTAGAGAGCATTGCTTGCACATGTTTGTGTCCTGTGGAGTTGTAAGGGGCTAAACTTAACCTTCAGCAGTGATTCCAGTGTTCCAGGCTGAGATTGTGGAGAACAGTGTCTCTCCTTTGAGAATTAAGAAATCTGAGGTTTGAGAAGAAATTGTGACAGTTATGCAAACCCTCTTAATACTTAAGTATTTAAATATAAAAATTTTCTTTTCAACTAGCTTTTGGAGTGTCTAAGGAAAACATTAAGCAAAGTAGCCAACTGCTTCATTGCTGAGGAATTCTTGACTCAAATAGAAAATTTGTTCCTTTCCAATTACAAAAGCAAGGAAGAAAACGGACCGGCTGAAGAGAACAGTACAAAGGAGTCGTTCTTGTAATTATTTAAAAGTAAGATGTTCTGTTTTAATCTTGGCATGCTACTGTAAATAATTGAGTTTTTTTTTTTAAAGCATAAAATTCTAAACTGTCCCACATACACAATGGGAAAAGGAAGAAAGATAGGCAAGTTCTCATAGAGTGGTAATCAAGAGTTCTTGTCCATGTTAAGCAATGTAATAGACTATGAAAGCTTGAGCAGTGATCGGCTTTACTGTGTATCCAACTTGATCAATAGACTGTGACTATGTTTTCCTTCTTTTTTGAAGTTTTTTTTTCATTTTGGCATCTTATCTCGTTAGAAATACTTATTTCCTTCCCATGGTCTCTGGTGGTGAGATTTGTGTTTGGTATGTGGATATCGCAGCTTACATGTAGTGTGAGTTAATGTGGTGAGAACTTCTGACTACTAAATCTAACAGCATGCTATAGCGTGCCAACACGGGCATAAGCAGAGGATCTTTAAACATTCAGACAAGAAAACAAAGGGGAGAAGAACCAGTTTTCAGTCCTGTTATTTGCTTTAGTTTTAGTGTGTAGCTCTGTACAGATAGTCAGCCTTCTCAGTGATTTCAACATTTTAGATGATTGCACAAGTGAAATCAGTAGCCCCAACTCTAATTACAGTAGTGTGATAAAATATCATTGACCTGGACTTGGCATTGTAACCCTCCACCTAGCTTTTTTCCCTGCCGTCAAGAGAAAGAAACAAATCACAATAAAGCTTAAATCAGATGTTGGAGTTAGAAACAAAGAGATGCCATCTAGCATTTTACATATTTAAGCCAGTTTCGGACTTCCTGAATAAGAAATGGAGGCTAGTAAACTTCATGGAGAGGACCAGCTAGTGTATTTCTGTTAGCTGGAGTACTGCTGTTTGCCTACTGTATAGGCCTTCTTATAATGGTGACAGTTTTGGTACCTTGAAACTGAGTTGAGTTAAGACTTTTCCTTTTTTGTTGTTGTTGCAGTTGTAGCAAAGAAGAGGGCAGCACTGGATGGAGTGGCCTCACAGTCTTAGGTGGCCTGAAACTGATTTGGGCTGTGTGATTTGAAGAAATAGAGTTGACTATCTCTAGGCCTTCCAGTGTTATTCCAGCTCTGATTTTATCTTTTTTTTTTTTTTTTTTTTTTTTTTTTTTTTTTTTTTTTTTTTTTAGGTTGCTTCTTTGGAACTTCATTTTAAGATTGTACAGTTCCAAAATTAATGTGTATTTTTTAAAGAAAACTAGTATTTTTTCCATTTCCCTGTGTACATTTAATATGAACAATGAAACATATTTTGTAAAATCACCTTGATGTCTGGAAATATATAAACTCCCAAAGCAAAAAAAGTCAGGAATCCTGAGCTCTCAACCTAATTTGAGCCAGCTTTGGTATGTGACCTAGTCACAGTCACATGTCTGAAATCCAGGTGTCTCCGTTGAAATTGAGAGAGCTGAATTTTATAACTTGGTGTCTCTTCAAACCCAGAAGGTGACAAAAGTTGGCAGCACCTCACTCTTTCATGCTTCCCTTCCTCCTCACCTTCATAGGCTATTGGAACGGACCTAGGAGCGGATGTTGATTAACTTTCTTGATTGGTGTTGCCCTAGAATGTTGTTGAGTTGTTAGAAGTTCTTTGTCAAATCTGGGTTTTTCCACGTGCCTGTTTAATCATAGGTACTCCCCTGACCTACATTGTAAGGACTTAAAAGATGGCCAGAGGCAGAGTGTAGGGCCCTGAGAACACAAAGTTTTAAGCAACTATTGAGGGTCTATTTTTCTGTCTATAGAATACATTTATATATATTTTTTTTTTTTGATTTTTCGAGACAGGGTTTCTCTGTGTAGTTTTGCGCCTTTCCTGGGACTCACTTGGTAGCCCAGGCTGGCCTCGAACTCACAGAGATCCGCCTGGCTCTGCCTCCCGAGTGCTGGGATTAAAGGCGTGCGCTGCCGCCGCCACCACCGCCCGGCCAACATTTATAATTTATTTTATGAAATACTTTTAAATACAGAGAAGTATATACAAAGCACAGATATCTCAAACCTACTGTTAAGAAAGTACTTCACACAGGAATTACATTCTTTACCAGTTGTGCTTTTGGTTGGTTGTTTTGGGGTTTTTTGGAGGGTTGGGGGTGGTTTTTCAAGACAGTGTTTGTATAGCCCTGGCTGTCCTGGAACTCGCTCTGTAGACAAAGCTGGCTTTGAACTCACAGAGATCCACCTGCCTCAGCCTCCCTAGTGCTGGGATTAAAGGTGTGTGCTACCACCGCCCGGCTTTCCTGACCAGTGTTAACAGCATAAACTTAGAACATTCCAATTTATCATTTGTCTCCTGTTGTTTCCTGTCTGTTCTCCACGTGGCTTTCTTTTCTCTTGTCATAGTGTCTACATGCTTTGGCAACTACAGATGACGCCTATGCTGACCTTGCCAACCTTGACCTTCTGAGAATAGTTAGAGCCAAGGCCTTAAAGAAGCACAGATGAGTCTGGAACCAAGGGGGCATATAACACAGAAGTTGATGAAGCAGGCTCCTGAAGAAAAGCCCTTTAGGAAACAATGTGTGTGGAAGTGGAGGACCGGAGACATCTGGGACCCTTCATCCCAAGTTCTGTCTTTTTGGAGGACACAACTGTAAAATAATGATTTTAATTTGTTTCCTGTTCTGATTTTATAAGAAAATTTAATAATGGTACTGCTCCTATATTAGACTTAGTGTTCTTCAAAAATAATACTCAAGAAAGCAAAATCAGGCCATCATTTAACCTTGAACCGTTCTTCTCCAGTCCTTTTAAATGGCCTGGAGCTCCCATTTCTAGAGTTGGTTTGACCCCATGCTCACAGCTCATGAGCACTTTTGCACACTTAGACTCCTTCCATAAAAAACTTAAATTTATATTTTATAATTGTGTTTGTGTAAAATGACAGTATTCATATTTTGGATTAAAATATTCCTTTAATCTAAAACTTGGATTATTTTTACTAATAAAATTAAGTAAAATGTTTGTTACATGCTCTGGGAGTCTGAGACACTGTGCCTTATGCATGGTTTGCCCTGTCTATATTCAGAAGGTGCTGGAAAAATGCGGTTAGTGTTCTCTGTCCCCTTCCCACCACCTCTAGGTTATCTGTTGTCACTCAGCCCAGTAGCACTTGTTTCCACTCTCACGGGCCTATCCATCTGAGCTGCGTTCTTTCCCATCCTCGCCAGAACTCAGGGTATTACTTAGCACCATTCATTCTTGGGAGAAAGGGACAGAGACTGGGAAGTGGGGGTGGGGAGACAGTAGTTAGGCATCAGTAGATAGACGTTTTTTATTCTGGTTCCTACTTTGACAGCTTCTGCCCTGCTTCACAGGGTGAGGTCCCTTTCTTTCTTCCCTTTCATCTCAGGCCCTTTTATTCATCCATCCTCACAGCTCATAGGTATAAAATCTTTATATCATTTGCTGGAAGTGAGAAACAGACCCAGTCAGATTTCCCTGCAGTTGTTTAGTACTGGCTCAGGCTTCTCCCCAGAATGTTCCTCCTTCCAGGCTGGGGAGTAGGTGAAGTCTGTGACAGGCAGACTGCAAGCACATTCAGCCTCTTCAGTTTTCAAGACAAAGAAAATGTCAGCCTCAGCATGCCAGCCCAAGCTGTCATGCTTTCTAGATTTTATCCTTTTTACCATATATATTGCTGGGTTTGAGTGCAATGGAAAAGCTGATAGAACCAGTATGCCCAAGAGTGCTGCTCTGTCCCGGGCCAGCAAAAGCCACCTAATTGACCTCCTGCTTGTCCCACACACTTGTATGTCACCAGCAGACATCCCATATGAGTTCCTTATCAGTAGTAGAGCTGGTCAACCAAATTTTTTTTTCCTTCTCTCACCTCTACCACCAAGAGACTTAATCTGGTGCCACATGGTATGGCACGAAGAAAGTACTTTCACAGAAGCACAAAGAAAAGCACACGTTTTGATAAACATGTACTCTTAATCAGCATTAACAATTTTAACAAAGAAATTTGATCTGCATCTCTACTTTCCTATTCTTTAATAATGCTCTTACGACTTCATATATTTTGTAATATGCCCAGAAAAAAAATCACAGTTAGGAGAATAAAGTACTGTATTTAGGTTATTATTTCCTGACCTTTTCTGAAAAGGTTTTATTCATGCTTTCATTTCCTGAAATTTTGCTTTCTGGTATTTCTTCCAAGCTACCTTATTCCCTTAGTGCCCCCACTAGATCACAAAAAAATAAAAGCATCCAATTAAAGGGTTCTAAAGGAAACTAAACTTTAAAGGTGAAATTAAATCCCAGCACCTGGGTGACTTTTATTCCCCTCCTTTGGTGTTTCTGTCATATACTCATGAGTCCCAGGGAAAATGCCTGGTTTGTTTTCTCTGAGATTTCCTAGTAGCTTTCCAGGAATTCATAAAGTGTTCTCACAGTTCATATTCCTGTTTCATATATTATCATAAAATTGAGCCTGTGTGGTGGCACACACCTTTAATTCTAGAACTCAGAAGTAGAGGCACATGGATCTCTGAGTTTGAGGCCAGCCTGGTCTACATAATGAGTTCTAGGAACAGGACTGAATAGTAAGACCCTATCTTTAAAACAAAACAAAACAAAGAAAAAATTGTCTGCTTTAGCATATGGATTCTAAAATTGTGGTTAGATTTTTAGCATGGTTTATGCAGATGAGTCATTTGCCTTTAAATGTGTAGAGTGGAGTTGACTTGCAGAGTTACATTATATATAAGATACTGCATGACAGTTTATAAACTTGCCACTGTTTTCCTACAATATTAGCAGTTTTTGTGAATTTTTTCACTAGTTTGCATTTTATAGTGTCCTACAACAATATAATGATTTAAAACTATTTGTACATTTAAATGTTATGCTACATTGTATATATCTACAATAAGAATATTGTATATATCAGTGTTTGTAGAATTCTGATTTTCCCCAAAATATGAACTCATCTTTCTATACTTACTTGTGACATATTAAAAATAACCTAATTTTAAGCTTTAAGATATTATCTCACAATGAAAGCTGAGAAACACGCTACCACATTGATGTAAATAAAAATTTGAAAATAAAAGAGGTGTCTCTTGTAAACTCTTGTGTCTTTGTAAACTATTAGCAATGTATGTATTACATTACAAAAAGAAGGCACTGCCTTAGATACCTTTCCATTGCTGTGACAAAAACCATGACAAAGGCAACTTACAAAAGAGAGCATTCTAGAAGGTTCTAGAAGGTTCTAGACCATCATGTCAGGGAGTACAGCAGCAGGCATGTAATTGGAGCAGTAGCTGAGAGCTTACATTATCTTATCCCCAGACAGAAGGCAGAGAGAGAGAGAGAGAGAGAGAGAGAGAGAGAGAGAGAGAGAGAGAGGAATGGCATGGGCTCTGGAAACCTTAAAGCCTGCTCCTCAGTATCACCTCCTCCCACAAAGTTTCACCTAATCCTTCCCAAACAGTTCCACCAATGGACACCAGGTATTCAAATGTATGAGCTTGTGGGGGCCTTTCAGGAACATTCAAACCCCACAGCCACATTAACTCAGCCAGGGTTTGTTGAGCATTTCTTACACTATACACAGTCAGAGACACAAAGATTAGTAAATCTTATCTTCTTTCTACAAGAACCCTATCACCTTATTGGTGGGAAATACAAAACAAGCTGCAATTGGTTATAAAACACCTATAGACAGTTTCCAAGTAGAGAATAGTGGTGAGAAGTCTCTGGACCAGGAATGTGAGATCAGTGCCTTTGGAAGAAATGTCTGACGGGATTTGATTATGTGATGTTTAGGAAAAGATGGTGCAAATAGAAGTGGCCTCAGCACAGCTGTGAAGGTAAGAAAACTTGAAAATACTTTGATCAAAGAGTAGGGTATATGAAGATGGCAATTATGAAAAATACAACCAGCCCACTTAATTTTAAGTTACAGAAAATAATAAAGTAGAAGCCAGTGAAGTAGTAGGTAAAGGCATCTGATGATGACCCAAGTTCTGTTCCCAAGAGCCATGTGGTGGAAAGAACCAACTCTTGCTGGTTGCCCTCTGACCCCCACTCAGTACCCCATGTCAAATGCTCACACATACACAAAATATTTTTTAAAAATTTTTAAGTAGGTAGAAAGTAAAAATCTCATCTTAAAAATTAGGATAAATATTGGTTTAACTGGTTTTGAACTTTGTTTTTTCCCTCAGCATGTAAGAAATTACACATTTTATATAAGGCTTTAATTTCTATATTATCTTCATTAAAAACACCAGCTTAGGGATGCAGCTCAGTAGCTTTCCAGGTGAGTGAGATGTTGTAAGGTCTGCCCGTTCTTTCTGTAGGAGCTTGGCATTCCATGCTGTGGTCTGTCCCCTGGATCTGGTAGTATACAGTGGAGCATCAGATTGGCTCATGTCTGCTACAGGTGTGTTTCTGGTACAGGCGAACTACTATGGCTACTTACCAGAGAGAGGGCCAAACCTTCATCCCTTTTAATTTTTTTGATATCTTGGAGAAATTTTTATTTTTTTATAGTAGTTTTAGTACTCAAGAAAAGTAATGATTTATTTACAAGATATAATGAAATCCTGAGTTTTAATTCCATAAAGCATTTATTCCTTTGGAAGTTCATTCCTCCATATAGTAGTTAGGGATTCTTATTAATTAAGCATTTGCTTTAACTTTCTGATTTCAGCCATGGCTTTGGAGGCCAGCATTGTCTCAGTCCTATTTGTGTTTGAATGGTTTTCTGCGTCACTGAACCTCAAGTTTATCTTCCGACAGAATGCTAATTTAAACACAGGCTTACACCAGGTACACATTTGTTCGGAATCTTGCATTTTCAGAAAGATATACTCAAATAGAATGCTTGGTTTGTTTGTTTTTTCTACCATAATTTTGCCTCTTACCCTACAAGGCATATGTAAATAAGTAAAGTCAAAATCTGAAACAATTCTGTCCCAGTTCAGATGATGAGACAGGTTCTAATAGTGTATAGCTTCTAATTTTTGAAGTGGTTTAAAATATTATTTGCTTTGACTTCTGAATTGTAGGGAAGATCCAGTTCTATGGTAAGGTCATAAATATATATTCTAATATTTTCTACAAAAAGGTATTGTGTATAGTTCTTAAACTTTGCATATGTGTATACAGTGGTGTGTGTGTGTGTGTGTGTGTGTGTGTGTGTGTGTGTGTGTGTGTGTGTTCAGATGTCCATGCAAATTATGTTTGTAGGCAAGAGGTTGAAGTTGGTAGTCTTCCTGGATTCTTCTCTCACTGATTGCCAAGAGTGACTGCCCAGTGAGTGTCTCCACAGGGCTAGGGTTATAGGTGTGCTAAATCATGCCCAGCTTTTTTGAGTGAGTGCTGAAGGTCTAATCTCAGTTATTTATGATTTCCTAACAGATACTGTTAGGAAATTTTGTCTAAAATTTAAAAAAAGATTTTAACTAATAAAAGAAAAACTATCCGATAAGTATATACAATATATACAGTCAAGAATTACATTAACAAGTCCATTAACAATTGACAGATTCAGATAAAAATTCCATTTTATATATATTAACAATGTCTAGTCCAGTAACATTTGATAAACTCAGACAAAAAAAAATTTCATTACTTATCTTATTTAAAACAAGAAGTTCCTTTTTAAAAGTATATTCAATAATTGACCTTTTTATCTTATATCCATATTCTCTCTTTTTTCTTTTTATAGTAGATTCAGTAATCTACCTTTTGTCATTTTTATATCTTCCCCTTTTTCTTTTTTAGAGTAGATTCAATTATCTACTCATTTATCTTGTTATTTCTTTATCTTTTTTCTCAGAGTAGACTGAATGATCCACCTCATATCTATATTTTCTTTTTTTTTTTTAAACAAAACCTCTGAATCTAATCTCCTTGTTCAGCTTTTTTTCTGATCATTAACAATCAACAACTTGTAACCAACCATTGTAAACAATGACAATATCTATAACTTATTAAATGACCAAAAAACACCCACCTCACCTATTGGGAATATGGGCGTAGTTTTCTTAAAATTACTTTCTGCTTTCTGGAGGTGAAGACATCTTTAGGGGATCTGTGGTGGTATTCTAATTGTACTGAAATGTGATTTTGATTGTATGTTAATAAATAAAGTTGCCCGGGGGTCAGAGCTATTAGAGCCATAGCAAGAGTGTGGCGGTGGTGGCACACGCCTTTAATCCCATAGATCTCTGTGTGTTCAGGGATACAGCCAGCATTGGAGACATATGCCTTTAAGACCTAGGGGGCTGTACATTCAGACAGTGACGAGGCAGTCACGTGTTTGGGTTTACAACCAATGAGAAGGCAGAACAAAATACTATAAATAGATGAACAGACAGGAAATAGGTCTCTTTCGGGAAGCTGGGACACCGCAGGCGGAATGGTGAGATTTTAGCTCTGAGCTCTGACCTCTCAGCTTTCTCTTTTACATTGTTTCTGTGTTTCTTATTTAATAAGACGGTTGGTTACATTAACAGGGATCCTGAAAAGAAATTTTTTGGGTTAATTGTCAAGTGCTGTATCATTTGTCCAGTCTCTGCATAATAGGAAAGTTCAGGGCTTGTCACAAGTCCTTGTTTGAGTAGTCTGTCAGGCTGGATCATCTGAGCTAATCATCTCAAAATTGTCCTGACCAGTTTGTAGTACAAAGTCGATCTTTCCATGGTGCTAATCAGCTTAATGGCTTTATCATAGTCCATGTGGAATCATCATTGTGGGAATCCTGTCATATTTTTTGAAGATTTCAAAGTCACTGTTAGACGTGGTCATGGTTTCCTGCAGACTTTTTCTTTCCTCCTCTGTGGTTTGGAGCAATCAGTCTGATAAATGTCTGTCTCTTGGAACCATGAACGTTCTTCCCTAGAAGAGAAAATCTTCACAGCAATTTCTCCCCACCATTTGTCTTGCCAAACTTTTCCAAATTGAACTTTGTTGATGCTTTCTTGTAACACAATGGTCCAGGTAATTCTCTGAACAATTAGTGGTAAACCTTTCATCCCAAGTAGCAGCATCACCACAGTCACCAACATGATGAGAAGCAGCCAGCAACTTAGAGCAACAGCTGCTGCCTCCATGATCCAACTGCCACCCTTTGTGTCTGGGCCCGGGCCATAGCTTCTCCTTAGCAAGCCTCCTAGGCCTGCCTCAAACTCGGGATCCTCCTACCTCTGCCTCTTTCAGCAAATCCAACCAGTGTGCCACTACAACCGGCAAAGTGTAGTTCAGGCCTGAGCTGGGTTCCTCAAGGCTACCGACAAGCGGCTTTTTCATGAATTCGTACCATGAACGTTGGGTGCCAGCTGTAGCAGGAATCTTAGAAGGTCTTATTAATAAAATCAAACCTGAGGCCACTTATTGGGGTGAATGCTGGAAGATCAGAGAAGCAGAACAAGCCACAGCTACCTGACCTTGCCAATTCCTCAGCTGATTCTGTTTCCTCAGACTGGAAGCCTCTTGAGTCTTCATCCAGAATGAATCCCAGCAGAACTGCTGCATCGAAAGCCTGAAAGCTTAACCAGCCAAATGCTTCTAGTTCCTGGTCTTCACACCTTATAAATCTTTCTGCCTTCTACCATCACTCCCTGGGATCAAAGGTGTGAGTCACCATGCTTGGCTGCATCCTATGTGGCCTTGAACTCACAGAGATCCGGAGGGATTTCTGCCTCTGGAATGCTAGGATTAAAGGCGTGTGCTACCACTCCCTATCCTCTACGTTTAATATTGTGGTTGTTCTGTGACCCCAGATAAGTTTATTAACGCGCACAATATTTGGGGGAACACAATATCACCACAAGATATTGTACTGACTAAGCCATCTCTCCAGCCCCTTGTGTATAATTTTTTGCCCCATGTGTAGCAAATTGTACTGTATTATTTATTGAATAACTTCCTTACTGATTTTTAATAATTTTTGTCTGATAAATTCCATCTCTGCCTGGATGTCTGGGGCTCACTTTTATTCTATTTATCTGACTACATTTTTGACAACTCTTAACATCTTAGCTTTCTGACTGGAACCCACTGGAGGAGGGATCCAGAACTGTGAAGTGTTGAGGGGGAAGACAGGAGATGAGAATAAAGAAGACATGAAGGTCTTGAATGAGCTGTTGTCTTATGCCAAGTAAGTGGATTAAGGAATACAGCATCTTATATAGTATTTACAGGGGGAGGATTTCAACCTCCACACTCCACTCTCGGGCCCCCATAGGCGTGTAGCCATATCGTAATGCAAAATTCATTCAATCCAACTTCAAAAGTCCTCATAGTCTAGCAGTTTCAACCCTATTTAAAAGTCCAAAATCTCTTTGGAGATTCATGGCAATCTCTTAACTGTAACCCACTGTAAAGTCAAAACAAAAAAGCATATCACATATTCCCAACATATGATGGCACAAGATATATATTACCACTCCAAAAGGGAAGAAAGGGAGCATAGTGAGGAAATACTGGACCAAAGCAAGGCTGCAAACCAACTCAGCAACCTCCAAATTCTGTATCTCCATGCCTGATGTCAAAGCACGCTTCAGATGGATATCCAGCTCCTTTCAACTTTGTTGACTGCAACATACTTCTTTCTCTTGGACTGGTTCTACATCCAGTCTTCAGCTCTCTTTGGCAGGTATCTTATAACTCTGGCATCTCCAACATCTTGTGGCCTCCAGTGAAATCCAGACTTCACCTTCACAGCTTACCTGGGGAGGCTGATTCCCTAAAGGAGATTCCCTTTCTTGTATCCTTGACTCTAAAGCTAGAGTGACATAGCCAAAGCTGCCAAGTTCTGTTGATTGCTGGGGCTGAAACATGGGCCCCTGTTGATGATTTCCTTTACTGCCTAACCTTGGCTGTCCTGGAACTGACTTTGTTGACCAGCTTGGCCTCCAACTCAGAGATCCACCTGCCTCTGCCTTCCAAGTGCGTGGACTAAAGGTATGAACCACCACACCTGGCCCTAAACTTTTCTTTAGTTCCTTTTCACAAGTTGGAGGCTTAATGGGTGGGGTCTTGCCCTGATGTCACTGTGGGAGTCCGTTCTCAGGTTCCTCGTGGCTTTACCCAGCAGGTCCACGTAGAGGATGATTAGGACCATGGGCCTGAATGCAGGTGTCTGAGATGGTCTGCACTTGGCTGTGCTGGGGGAGGAGGTCTTTTGCTCCACCCCTTGGCGTCTCTATAAAAAACCCTGGGGCAGAGACAGGGCCCATTGGAATAGGTTCCAGGCCCTCTCGAGGCTATCATTTATTTTCTATCTGTTTATCTCCGCAAGATTCCCCGCTATAAATACTTCTATCTAATATTTCCTGCTGCTCACACTCAAGAAAACTCTGGGAAGCTGTGGTGTTGGTGGGTAAATGCCCCACATGTCACCACTCCCTTTATGCCATTTCTCATCAGGTTTTTAATTTAAACTTTTTATTTCCTTGAGCACTGTTCTTAGCTCCATTACACTTCCTGGTACTCCTTTTTTCCTCAAACATTTTGTATTTTTCCTTGCTCAACTTGCTCCTTCACATTATAATTCTACATAAGCATGGCCACTAATAACCAAGCAACATAGTCAATACTAGGCTGTCTGGAAATCTCCTCTGTCAAAGCTGTTAACTCTTCAAAATAATTTAGTCTTAGTCAGATTTTCTGAACAAGGGCAGAAAGCAGCCACATTCTTCAACAAAATATCACAAGAATGGTCTCTAGGCCACATACTAATTTTCTTCTCTGAAACCTCTTGAGCCAGCCCCCACAGTTTAAATCATACTCAGCAGCATTGTCTCCCATGCTCCTCCTAGTAT